CATGAGAAAAGCACATCTTTCTTCCCCTGTCCTGACCACTTTCTACAGGGGGACAATTGAGAGCATCCTGTCATACAGCATCACAGTCTGGTTTGGAGGCATCACTGCTTCAGACAGGAAGGTGGTGCAGAGAGTGGTGAGAATGGCCGAAAAGATCATTGGCAGTTCCCTCCCTCCCATCCAGGACATAGCACAGAAGCGCTGCTTGAGCAGGGTCCGTAAGATTATCTGGGACACTACACATCCTCTTCATGACTTGTTTTCCTTGTTACCTTCTGGAAGGAGGCTTTGTGGTGTCCGAAGCAGAACATCCAGATTCAGCCAGAGTTTCATTCCATACAGCATTAACCTTGTGAACTCTCAAGCTTCCTCCTTCCATTATATATTCAAGATGGACAATATTTAATATTTATTTGCTATGTATATGTAGGGATGTGGGTCTATACATATGTTGTTCATAGTATGTTTATGTGTGTGTCATGTATGTGTTTCCCTTTGAGAGCGGGCAACTAAATTTCATTTTTGATGTGTGCCATTGTGCTCACAGTATAAAAATGACAATAAAGGTTATCTTATCTTATCACTGGAGACTTTTAAAAAGAGAATGGACAGCTACTTCTCTGAAATGATATAGGTCTCCTGCTTGAGCAGGGGTTTGGACTAGAACAGTAGTGGGCTATGGCCCACTGCCAGGCTGTGGCTGTTTAGAACTGAGCCGTGTGTGAATGGCTGGACGGCTCCGACACATGACTTGTGTCAATGACAGACTGGCATGTATGCACCCAGCTCAACTTGCGCGAGTGGCAGGCTAGTGCACATGCATGCAGCTTAACATGCGCAAGCGGCGGGCCAGCACGCACACACCTCAATTTGCACGAGTGGTGGGCTGGCGTGCGGATGCACATATGCATACGTGCACCAGCCCATTGGTTGCACGGGCTGGTTCCCCTCTCCCCCCCGCCAGGCTGCCAAGCCATAAAGGTTGGGGACTCTGGACTAGAAGACCTCCCCCAAGGCCCCTTCCTACTCTGTTAATCTATTACTCTGTTAATGCCAGAAATCTTTCTCAAATTTATAATAATATTACTTGCATGATTTTTGTTTTGTTTTGTTTTGTTTTGGAAGAAAAAGAGATTAAAATGAGATTGGGGATTTGATTCTGTAATAGCTATGTGATGTTAATCAGAAAAATAGTTTATCATCTAGCATGTATAGAATACATAGAATACATACATCTATGCAGTATAGAATAAATTTCAGTAAGGTGTCCAATGCACTTTGTCTGACCGATTCTCTCTTGTATTTTCTGAGAATGTAAATTTGTGTGATTAACTACACCAGTTCACTACCTGTGGCCTGTCATGATTAACTTGATCTAGCCCAAGGGAACTGGCTGGTGTGGATTAGACACCTTCTCTATTGAACAAAAAGGGTCTTTATCCCAATCCCCTAAGATTTTGTGGGTGTATTGGCAAGCTCAATGTTGTATGTTGTCCAGTATCCAGTCCCTTAGGAAATTTAGGAGGACTTCTTTTACACTCCTGTTCTTTGAACCAGGAGGGTCTGAGTATAATACTGCCATATTTAGTGGCAGTGCTGTAAAGCTAAATAGTTCTGGAAAACAATTTGCCGAATAAGAGAATGAAACAATTTATGGAAGTTGAATTTCCTTTCCAAGCTGTCATCTTTCTATTAAATATCAGTAAACCTTCAAAATACTGACTTACCTAGCTTAGTCAATGGTAACTGCTGCAAGATTACTTTGTGCTTTTCATTAGAAAACATGTACATTCCCTTGGTAGAAGCAAATGAAGTTGTGGGAGTGTATCTTGATATGTAAAATAATGTATTTGAAAAGCAAAACCATTTGGGGGTTATTATTTCATACATGGGCTTTTACACACCTGAAGTTTGGATTTCTCTTAGTATAAAGTTTTAACAGTTAACTCCTCATGACTAGACAGAAATTATTGTAATTTCTTATTTGTTTCATACTGACTACTGTTGTTGATTATTATTGTTGATATTTATACACTAATTTGATTTTTAGTTATTTATCTATTTTATTCAATTTGTATGTCTGCCCAACTCAAACAAGTGACTGAGTGGCAAACATAAAATCATTTAAAAACAAAACTACAACCACAATAAAAGGCAGTTTTTCCCTGTCCAGTCGTGTCCAACTCTAGGGGGCGGTGTTCATCTCTGTTTCTTAGCAGAGGCAGCCAGCATTGTTTGAATTTAGAATAGAATTTATTCCATACTTCTAGTCATATGGCTAGCATGACTATACACCAGTGCATGGAATACTGTTACCTTCCCACCAATGTAGTATCTATTTATCTACTCCCATTTGCTTGCTTTTGAACTGAAAAAAAATTAAATACAGCAGCTGAGAAAATATTATGTAATGTAGGTAATGGGACTGTCTCCCAGGAACGTAATCCAGGTTTTCAGGGACCTACAAAAGGCCAACTGGGATGGAGCCATCCTACTCTCTAGAGCAGAGATCCCCAACCTTTTGGGCATCAAGGACCGGTTACGTGAAGAGAGGTTTTTCCTCAGGCCAGAGGGGGTGTGGTTTTGTGTGCTGCCTGCATCCCGCAGGTGGGGCTTTGCTTGTTTGTGCAGTCCGGTTGCTGGCATGCTGCGGTCTGGTACCGGTCCACGGCCTGGGGGGTTGGGGATCCCTGCTCTACATGGAGAATTTCCAGAGGGCAAGCACTATGGCAGAAAAGGCAGCCTCATGGTCCCTGCCAGCCAACATTCCTTGGCTAGTGGGACCAGAAGCATGCCCATCCTGCTGGATCAGGTAGAAACAATTGGGGAAGACGGACCTCAGGAACCCAGACCAAGCCATGAAGGGCTTTAAAAGTGATAATCAGCACTTGAATAGTATCCAGCATCAGCTGGCAACCAATAAAGCTCACAAAGCAGTGGCATTACATGTGCTGAATAACCTACACCATTTACTACTTGGTGCAGCTGCATTCTGCACCAGTTGAAGTTCTAAAGCTTCTAATCCCAATAATCTAGATGGGAGGTCACAAGGGCATGAGTGACAGTGAGTAGAGCTTCCTGGTCCAGGAACGGGTACAACCTGTAAGGTATGAAAAAGCTATTTCAGCCACGACTACCATCTGCTCTTCCAATAGGAGCCGTGAGTCCAGGAAGACCCCCCGATTGCACACACATCTGAGGCAGCGCCACACCATTCAGAATCAAAGGTGGAAAAATCTTGACACCAGAAAGCCCAGGCACCCAAAGCCACACAACCTTGCTTGGATTGAACCAAAGCCCATTGCACCCATCCATATCTTTGCAGCCTCCAGGCACTGGAAAGGACATCTATGGCATCACTCAAGCAGTCTTGAGTAGAGATGTGGAGCTGGATATCATCAACATACATACATATGTGTATAATTTGCCTTCTTCAAAATATAGGATTAGTCTTATTGCCATCACAATAAATAAATAATGAAGAACTTTGAGAAAAGTCCAGGGGAGTAGCATTTCAAGGAGAGTTGGGAAAATATACATTAAAAATAATTTGGCTCATAAAACTGATTAAGAAAAAGCTATATGTGTTCCAAGAATCTGACAAACTATTATGTTCTTTTTCTTTTTAATCTCTAATAGCTTTTAATAACAATAATATTTTGAAGTTGAGGAATCAGAAATTAGAAAGGAAAACAGTGATTAATAGGTTCCCTCCTAAATATCAGCCTTTTGCTTTCCAAGTTTGCCCTTCTTTCTTAAATGAGTAGGGATATCAAAATGTCTTTACAGATTTAACCCAGCACAAAATATTCTGGACAGACTATAATTATTTTAATTGCTTAATTTAATGTATGATATTTAGAAGGAGCATTGCATTGGTGATGTAGAATAAGTCTACAGTCATGCTACAATAATTCCTGAAAAGAGTGCAGTTGTGTCTGTTATATTTTTAGTTTCTATTATTGTTGTTATTATTGCCCTGTAGGGTACTTCAATCAATGAATATAGTGGGAAGGTTACTGAGTTTGATATCATGATGTGACTGCTATTCTTTGGTGGCATGTAATGGGTTAAATGGGTACTAAACCATCCAATTTAGATCAGAGATGAAGTAGCAATGGAGCATATGATGACTGGGATTGCTTAGTTAGTGGCCCACATTCTTATCTCTGTCTCTGTCGTGCTTATGCTCTGTCATGGGGAGACTTTCCTTTTAAGTCTTTGCCATTACTGTTTGGCAGAATAGATTGTCATTCTGAAAGACTGAATGACCTTCTTATTATTCCCCCTTTTTTCTCTGTGGAGATGTGTTGTTTTGTATTCCCATTTGGCCGCACAGAAGCCAGTGCACAGTACATTCTCAGATTGAACAGGCAGGCACATGAACAGTAACAACAACAACAAAAATCTGCAGTGACTGTGGCTGAACTGAAAGGAAAAAAAGTCCTCCTCCTCTCCTCTTCCCTTCTTGTAGCCAAATGCTCCTATTCATATCAGCACAGGCTGTCGAATCAACAGCATGGCTGCCAACAGCAGCAGAGGTAAGAGAGGAATGTAGCGTATGAGTTAGTGAAAGCAGCATTAGAACAAGAATTGAAGCATCTTCCAAGAAAGCCTTGCGAGCGTTTGTATAGTCTGTTTGTTTCTCATGTAGATGCACATTTGTTTCTCTTACGCAAAGGGACAGGTGGGGAGATGGTGGAAGGAGAATGGAGGGATCAAAAGCTGCCTGTGATGCCAAAGAAAAAAATGCTCAGTCTGCAAAAGCATCTGTTCTTCTCCGCTTTTTTGACAATAATAGGTAGATGTGGGGAGCAGTGGATAAACAAGGAATCAGCTCTTCATCACTGGCTTCATGTAATCACAAAGGTTTGAAACTGAAGGTTCTAGCAAATCTAGCTACCCAGGGCTTCAGCTGTGATTTCCTAAGAGCATGCAGAACTGAAGAGGGGTGGTGGCTTGATTAAACTGACTTTGTTTCTTTCTGTTTCTATTCACAGCTGTCGCTCCAAAACTCAAGAAACTAAAGAGCCTAAATGTAGACATTGGAGCAAAGGTTTCTTTGAAATGCGAGGCAAGCGCTGGAAATCCTCAGCCATCCTACAAATGGTTCAAAGATGGCAAAGAAATTAAAAAGAGCAAAGATATCAGAATAAAATATGGGAATGGAAAGTAAGTAAAAGCAGTCGGTTTTTTATCCTAAAATTGTAAACAAATGTATTATTATAGATAAACATTCTTAACTATTATTGGTATAATTTTCATAAACAGGACTGAATGGTTAATTTCTAAGTAAAGTGATGTTTATAATCCTAATCCCAAATAGCTTTGTTTCTTGTTTGTGAGCAAGATATGTTCATAATATTCTCAGAGGACATTATTAATTTCAATATTTCAAGGTGCAGGTTGGACTCAAAGGAAGGCAACATTTATCTAAGCCAGATTTTAACTGGAGGGCACCAGGTGGGGGAAGACTGTTCTTAGGTAAAACTTGTGTTACAAAATGGCAAATCCAACAATTTCATTTTGTGGGCTGTCTTGACCAGAATTCTAAAGAATTTTGGGAGTTGATTTCCACACAGCTTAAAGTTGCTGAGGTTGGAAAGCACTGTTATAAAGCAAGAAAGCTCAATTATTTTGCTGTAATATTTTGTTTAATCGGACATGGTTAAAAGACAGACATGCAGACAGCCAATTATTTTTTTGCATTAGGAGTGATGGCATGCTCCTTCTCAGTTTGTCCTCTGGATAGACCATGTGCTCTACTTTTGGTGTGATGAAGACAGAGCCAGATGGTCTAAACTGGTTATCCATCTGGGTTTTGCACAGGCCTAGAAATCACTTAGGTGATTAGGTGAAGCAAGTAGTGTCTCTTAGAAACAGGCCATGTTGCTTTCTGTTTTTGCTTTGAAGGGGTCCTTTCTTGCAGCTCCATTGAAGTGAGGTGTCCTCTGGCTTTTTAATGGTATTTAACTGTTACTATTTCTTGATACACAGTGCCACAGAATTAAATTCATCCTAAAGTTCTGATTGATACCAATGTGGTCCATGAACATTAAATTCTCTGTAATGTTGAACACCTGGCTTCTCAGATCAAACTAGGCCATTGCATGTTGGTAAAAGTTATCAAGAAACAAGGCCAGCAGGCTTCCCAGTACCATATGAGGCAGAATAGAGTAGATAGTTTCATGAAAGTTCATACATGGTGTAGGACCTGGCTTCATCCAGTCAATATTTTGATTGTAGCTCAAGCAAGTTCATTGGCCAAATTTGATGGTAGAGAATTGCATTGAATATGGTTCAAAGTGAATTTGTGCTCATAATGGAAAAACCTCAAATTGTTTTAGATTTTGTTTTAAATCAACAGAATAGGACAGTGATGGTGAACCTTTTAGAGACCGAGTGCCCAAACTGCAACCCAAAAACCACTTATGTATCGTCGGGTGCCGGGTGGGCATGGCCCATTGGGTAGGTGTGGCCAATTGGGTGGGCGAGGCTGCGATGGTAACGGCAGACTGGGTGGAACTAAAAAGTTCAATCAATCAATTCCAACTTTGCAAGATCTTTTTTTCCACGCAAGAAGTTGAAATTGATTGAACCTTTTTTTTTTTGCACATGGCGGCGGAGGCCTAAAGCGAAAAGGTTTTATAAAACCCAGCTGAAGGCCTAGGACTGGGGCGATGGCACGTGTGCCCACAGAGAGGGCTCTGCGTGCCACAGGTTCGCCACCACAGGAATAGGATGAAACCTGCAGAGATAGATAACAGACATCTCAGAACAAATTAAAACATCCAGTTTCAGAAAATATGTGAATAATTAATCTTTCTGGACTTTTCTTTTTTTAAAAAGAAAACTATAATTGTTTGATTTATTTCTTTATATAGATAAAAATTATACAAATAGTTATCTTTTAGATAGATCTGAAACCGACAGTTTTTTTTAAAGAAATATGAATAGGGTTTTGGACGGTTTTGGACAGAATTAAAGGGCGTTTTCTACAGAGCACTATTTAAGCATATGTTCTGATCTGGATCTGGATCATAACATCTCCCAGTGATTTCCTACAGTGATTTTGAATTAATAGCAATAGCAATAAGACTTATATACTACTTCACAGTGCTTTACAGATCTCTCTAAGCGGTTTACAGAGTCAGAATATTGCCCCCAACAATCTGGGTCCTCATTTTACCAACCTTTTATATTATTACTATTACTATTACTATTATTATTTGTTGCTGTTATTGTTATTGTTATTATTGTTATTATTTTTTAACGAAGGCTAGTATCTTGAGATTTTCAAACTTCATCAGTTGGCAGTGTTATAATCTTAAACCTTGGAAGGAAAAACTGTAACTGAGGAAGGGTTCATGGGGAGATATGTATACTGATTTGAGTTTTCTGGACCAAAACTAAAATGCAAATGAAGTAGATATCTGCTATCCTTTGTGTTCAGCATTGGGATTTTTTATTTCTTCATTTAAATATTTGGTTATGGGCAAAAAAGATTTGTCTAATTATTTTTTATTAATATTATTAACGTGAAAGCTAGTAAAATCTAGGAACATGTGAAACTTTAAGTTTCTAGCTGTTCAGTGATTGTTAAACTCTTCTACACAAATTTAAAAATTTCCATACTGAAATGCTATTTAACTTATTTTAATTTCCAAGGGGAAAAGATTGATACATTTATAAACAACTGGGGAAATATTAATATTGTATCCTTAAAATTGATGGTTTTCTCTCATAGGCTTGCTAATCAAACTTCAAATATTATATTTCTTCTGCCTTCCTCTTTTCCCCTGCTCCAAATCAGCATAAGTAATTGATTGTCCCAACGCCCTTCTCATTATTTCTGGACTGGAAAGTTGAGTTCACTTTGCCCTTCAGATAACAGGTTTTGAATAAACAGAGTGAATATAAGAATGACATGGCAAAGCAATGCAATGGAGAAACCACATTGCAGTATGTTGAACACCACCAAAGCTGTGTAATTAAAAAAGAAATCAAAGATAGCTCTGGAATAAGTACTCCTACCTCAGGAAGTGGGTTGGAATAGAAGACCGCTAAGGTCTCTTCCAGCTCTATGATTCTATGATAGTCTCTTGTTTTTTCTATCTTATATTACCTATTTAATTTTGTGTCCCTCCACTGCTTCTGAATTTTTCATCTCATCATAAACAAATGTTTATTTTTATGAGCAATTTATGCAATGATTTGATAATTTGCATATTTTCCCAATTTCCTTCCTTCACAATAGGTATATAGACCACAACTTTTTCCAATTTCTAAATCACATAGTTTGAAACAGGACTTTAACCACCTCTTCTCTTTCAGTTTAAAATCTTTCAGGGTTCAATGAATATTTCCTCTGGTTCATTCTTAGATAGCTGTTCTTGTTGATAATACCTATTTTTTCTAATGGATTTGGTCAATATTGCTTCTTTACAACTATTTCTGTTATTCTATAATCCCATTTTAAAGGATTTCAATATATTTCCATATTTCTTTATTTCTCTTCATTGTCAATGATTACTTTTGATTATTGCTGCCTTAAGTTCTTAGTTGCCATAATTTCTTCAATCCTTATTTTTAAAAATCATTTTTCTTTTCTTTTTTAAAGCTAATTTTATGAAAAATTACAACTATGATAAAAAAAAGTAATAGAAACCGAAAGAAAAGAAAAGAAGGGGAAGAAAAGAAAAAGGAAATAGAGAGAGAATAGAAAAGAAAGAAAGAAAAAAAAAGAACATATTAAGAGCAATAAAACTATGCAGGTAGTCTTTGACTTACAACAGTTCATTTAGTGACCATTCAAAGTTCCAGATGCACCATTTTTCACACTTACGACCACTGAAACATCCTCATGGTCATGTGATCAAAATTCAGATATCGGGCAACTGGCTTGTGTTTATGACGGTTGCAGTGTCCTGGGGTCATGTGATCACCTTTTATAACCTTCTGACAAGCAAAGTCCATAGGAAAACCAGATTCCCTTAGCAACCTTGTTACTCACAACTGCAATGATTCACTTAACAACTGTGGCAAGAAAGGTCATAAAATGGAGTAAAACTCACTTAAATATTTCACTTAGCAACAGAAATTTTAGGCTCAATTGTGGTCATAAGTCAAGGACTACCCGTATAAAGAAATTTCTTCTTCTGTCATCACATCAAGTATAAAACATTTAATAACTTACCACCTTCTCTTAACACCACAACAAATGATCTGTTCTTCCCATATCTCATCCCTTATTTATAAACATATCCTTAAAACCTTGTGATTGCCATCCTGAACAGCAAAAGTCCATTAAGGGCTAGCATAGTTAACAATATATCTATTTTATACACTTTATATTCCTTTACATTTAACATTCTTGATCTTTAGTCCCTTCAAATAATGCCCCAAATTGATTTCTTTGATTTTTTTATTTCCCCCCCCCTTTGTTCCTTCTTGCAAAATTCTTCAAAACTATAACAAACCTCTTTTGTAAATTCAATATAAGAAAATTATCCAGGTCATTCTCCTACTTTGTTATTTGTGTATCCCTTTTAATCAGCCAGTTTTTTTGTATGTCCAGTGTAACATTGTTCTCCATATCATTCTTATAGCTTATCATTTTGGCCCACTTTCAGATCAGTCTCAATTTTGCCTGATAAATTTTCTTTTCTATGATATCTTTTAAACAGCTTATCTATAGAGACAGACACTCTTAAAATTAACTTCTGGATCTATTGTTCAAAAATACCCTTCAATGGGACACTTCCATTGTTATTTTCTTGTATTTTCTTGACATTCTGGATTAGAGGGATCTGTCCTTGTCCCTCTACACCAGGGGTTTTCAAACTCGGCCCTTTTATGACTCATGGACTTCCAATTCCCAGAATTCCTCAGCCAGCGTGCCTGGCTGAGGAATTCTGGGAGTTGAAGTCCATGAGTCATAAAAGGACCGAGTTTGAAGACCCCTGCTCTACACTCTATACTGAACATTTGTATTTAGTTGTATGTTCTTCTTTCAGATTTGTTTGTCTATCTTCCATGGTGTCTGCTGAGCCAATAAGAATTGGCAGGATTGGCACACTTCACATATTTTCAGTTAAACAGTGTTATCTTTAGGGACCCAAGAGGTACATCTGTCAGCACCTGTCCATTGGAATGAAGTTCTTCCTAAGTTC